CCCAAATCTTCCTTAGGTAATACGGAGATCTTTAGGGTCTCAGCACTTCCATAAATAGATCGTTCTGATCCTCCAGCCAGGACCCCAGAGGCTCAAAGCACTCAGCTCTGCGCTTTCCCCACCCAACAGGGCTGTGTGTACCCAGGCTGCGACCCCTTTGCACTTCTTTTATTTTGCTTTTTGGACCACACCTGGAGATGCTCAGGACTCATTCCTGGGGGCAAGGGGGGCGTGGTTCAAGGGATCATATGTGTCGCTGGGGATTGAACCAGGGTCAGTCACATGCTGCCTTACCTACTATGCCCCGTCTCACGTTCTCACGCGTCTTTCTGCAGGAATGGAGGCGCTAGTGTATTTAAGAGGATAAAAGCACAGACGGAAATAACCTCTCACAAATGCTGGATGTAGAGATACCTAGGAAGTAGGGAACGCGGGTAGAAAATGACTCAGGTAGGCCACTTAAAACTGAGGGACTCCATGCTTTAATAGACACCGAAATCACAAAGGAAGGCCAAGTGCCTTAGCAATCTCAATAAAAATATGAAGTTCTTTTTACAGGGTAAATTTCATAATATAAAAAGTTTAATGCCATCTGGAAAGTATAATTTACAAAAAGAGTCCGTGGAGGCCAAAGCTGGCTCACGCTGCATTCGGGGGGCATGGGTGCCACGGGGGGAAGGGCTGAGGTGGGGCGAGGCGGCCGCAGGCATCCTCGCCTGGGACATCTTGGCAGGCTCTGGCATCAACAAGGGCCCGACTCACAAACCACATATACAATCATCTTAAATAAAACAACAAGATAGGTGCTGAAAATGATACAGTTTTCACTTTTCTGCCCACTTGCTAAGAGCAACCCAGAGCATGGTCGAAGGGGGGTTTGTTTTCCAGCCTGAACCGAAACTGAGTTTGCCTGTGGCGGAAGGTGGCAGGACCGGGCGGGCACAGCGAACCAGTGGAGTGCAGGGATGGACAGTGGGTTGGACACCGTCTCCCCCCAAGACCCAGCGAGAATCAGTGTGGACCATGGAGTTTTAGAAACGGGGTGGTAGCGAAAACCATGTCACCTTTACTAGATCCAGTGTGGATCAAAATGTTTATTTTAGTAGCTAATTTTGTCTTGGGGTTTGACTTGGATGAAATTGGTGAAGCAGTAGGAAGAAGTTCACGGATGAGAATGAGAGAGGGAGAGAGACACAGAGAGAGAGAGAGAGAGAGAGAGAGAGAGAGAGTTTACTGCCTTGTTTTGTGGACGATGCCATTCTTTCTAAAAGATTTTTTTGCTGGTGTCAGTGTACTTGCCTCTAATGGAACAGGACATTCAAGTTTTCTGCACTGAAAATCAAATCAATCCCATGCTATCTGTAATTTTTGAGGGAAAAAATGTTTGTAAATTTGAGGTGGGTTGGGGAAGGGAAAATGCGTCACACCTGGCAGTGCTCAGGGCTTACTCCTGGCTCTGTGCTTAGTGGTCACTCCTGGCCGGGGTCAGGGGACCCTATGTGTTGCTGGGGACGGAACTGGGGTTGACAGTGTGCAAGACAAGCAGCTTAACCCTGGTACTAGATCTCTGGCCCCGTTTGTAAAACCACCCACGTCTGTTGACCATTTCCAAGTGGAATAGAGACGGGGCCAGGAGGGGGCTGTTGGCTTTTGTCTGCGTGGCACAGGGTTCCCATCCACGCCAATTCATTTCATTTGATGCAGCGACACTAAGTTTCCCTAGATGGAACAAAACATTATTCTAACAGAGTTTTCTGTCACCTGTACTGGAGACTTTTGGGCCTCGTGGGTTGAGGCAAAACCAAGACTATTATATTCTTCTTATGTAACTATTGAAATATGTAAGATCCATTCTTAGCTTGTGGCCATAAAAAGCCAGGCCACTAACCAGATTTATGCCAGTGAAGATGTAGTTTGTCAGCCTTGACCTATGCAAAAAAAAAAAAAAAATCCGAGTGCCATGTCATCTTAGACACATTTTGTTTTCAGTAGCGACTTTGATTTTACATTCATTTTTCAGAAAGCACAAAGACTGACAGCAAACCTAAATGAGGGGTGATCCTACAGTGATTTTTAAATTGGTCCCATTCTTTAATAAGCTTGTTTTTCCCTTCTCTGAAGCTTTTGTCTAGGACAATAATAATAATAATAATAATAATAAGCACATATGCCACCATCAGACTTTTCAACGAAACCTGAAACAACAATGCACATAGAACTAAACCGGGTGAGGGTCCACGAGCCCTCTGACTGGTGAGGTCACCGTGGACAGTGATCTGGGTGGCAGACAGGTGCTGGAGGGGGCCAAGGGCCTCCCCTCGTCTTGTGAGACAGAGTCAGACCCTCGGCCTTTTCTCCAGGGCTCTTTGGCACTTGGGAAGATGGCCGAGAACAGAACAGCCTAACAACAGACAGATTCAGAAATGTACCGTGAGGTTCATTTTCCATTGTTGTTGAGGACCTGATTTTTGTTATCTAAATGCACAGTGCTGGGAAGTTGGCTTACTTTTATTACTGTTTATTTTGTTTCCTCCTTGGCCTTATTGTCGCTTGTCTTTTCCAGTGTTGGGATCAGGGTGAGAGTGGGACAGTTTTATCGTTTTCCTAGAGTCAACAGGGCTGAAACCCTCTGTCATACAGCTCTGGAGAACATCACAAACGGGGTAAGTCTTTTTTTTTTTTTCTTTTTGGGTAATACCTGGCGATGCACAGGGGTTACTCCTGGCTCTGCACTCAGGAATTACCCCTGGTGGTGCTCAAGGGACCATATGGGATGCTGGGAATCAAACCCAGGTGGGCCGTGTGCAAGGCAAACACCCTACCCGCTGTGCTATCGCTCCAGCCCCCAAAGGGGTAAGTCTTAACCTTTCCTATTTTCAGACTATAGCGAGGAAGAGGTGTGGGTGGGGACCTGGTGCACTTGGTAAGTGTTTGATTCAAAAGTGTGAATCTACCTAGATTCAAAGCTTTCGCCAGGCCTCCTGATTCTAGCAGCCCTGCCACCAGGCCCTTGTGTCCAGCCTGGATGGTAGGGGACCCTGCCCAGTGGCCCTCACCTTTGAGAGAGAGAAAGAGACGTCCTCCCAGTCAGGACGGCGGGATTTTCATTATAGAATACTTTGCAATAGAGGTTTACATTTGCCAACTCAACTCATTACTAACGCGGTTTGCAGTATTTTATTAAAATAAATTAAGTTACCCCTGTCTATTGTCTCATCTCGTCCCAGCTGGGCTACAGTCTCTGTCCGCTGCCCCAGCTGCAGGAAAAGTCCTCCTTTGTCTCCTGGGACATTTTCAGGGATGCTTCTATCCCTTTCTGGCAATAATCCAGACACAATCCCAGCAGAAGGTCCCGCTTCTCTAGCCCAAAACGAATCCTCTGCCAGGAGGAGCTTGTCCCTCAGATGGCAGGCGCGAGGGGCCCCAGACTACAGCTTTAGACAGAAGGGGTTTGAGAGGCCTCAAGTTGGAAAAGGAGAGAATAACATGAAGCAGCTGAGAAAGGGAGTAGGAGCTGGAAGGCGAGATTCCGGATGAATCTAGTTTGCTATGGGATGATTTTTTCTTTTCTTTTTCTTTTTCTTTTTTCTTTTGCTTATAAGGAAACTGAGAACTTTCAACTCCTTCCCCCCCGCCCAAACTGAATACTTATTGATGACTATTCAAAAATCTGACATTTTAAAAAATCTTTTTGAGCTTTTAAAAATAAGAACTATAAATGCAAAGTACTGTTGATAGTAAAACCAAGTGGCTTCTCCACGTACAAAAAAGGTCTGTAATGTTTTAAAAGCACAAAGTTGCATTTCAAATCACAATTGCATAGTTCTAAAATGCCTGGATAAGACGGTATGTAAATTTTTTTTTTTTTTAAGAAAATTCAAGTTTGGTTGACAGGGGTGCCCGAAGGACATTTTGTCAAGAGCTCGATGGAGGAGCAGCGTTCAGGATGGAAGGGTGGTCTCAAAGACGAGAATTATTGCATTGTCCCTGCTAACTGTCAATGTCACACACCCCGAATCGCTAGAATTTCATTACAAATCATTTGGCATTTGAAAAAAAAAATATTCTGTATTTGGCTGATGTAACGCTTGCTTTGCATGTGGAATCCAAAGTAGAGAAACTGTGTATGTCCCACCCCCAAAACCAGCACCTGAAGCCTTGAAGGAAAAAAAAAAAAGCTCTGTTGTATTTGTGTATAAAAGGTATTGCATATATACCTCTTAGCAAAATATGTGCTCCCTTTCCTCTTCCCGCCGCGGAACCACGACCACGTTTGCACGTATATATAGATCTCTAATATAAAAATTCCTCTGGCAGAATCACGTCGAAGATGAGAAGCCGGGGAGTTCGAAGGTAAACATTTGGTGACGGGTGGAGGCTCGTCGGTCCGTGGGCCTCCGGAACCAAGCCCACAGAAGTCCTGGTCCGCGGTGGGGAGTGTGTGTGTGTGTGTGTGTGTGTGTGTGGGCATGTATGTGTGTGTGCGGGTGCCGCGCGTGTGTGTGCCTGTGTGGTGCCGCGTGTGTGCGTGTGGGGGGTGGCGTGTGTGTGCATGTGGTGATGTGTGTGGTGGGGTGCGTGTGTCTGTGTGGTGGCGTGTGGGGGGGGTTGGCGTGTGTGCGCGCGTGTGGTGATGTGTGTGCTGGTGTGCGCGTGTGTGTGGTGGCGTGGGGGGGTTGGCGTGTGTGTGCGTGTGGTGGTGTGTGTGGTGGGGTGCGTGTCTGTGTGGTGGCGTGTGGGGGGGTTGGCGTGTGTGCGCGCGTGTGGTGATGTGTGAGGTGGTGTGCGCGTGTGCATGTGGTGATGTGTGTGCTGGTGTGTGGTGGCGTGGGGGGTTGGCGTGTGTGTGCGTGTGGTGGTGTGTGTGGTGGGGTGCGTGTCTGTGTGGTGGCGTGTGGGGGGGGTTGGCGTGTGTGCGCGCGTGTGGTGATGCGTGTGTGTGGGTGTCGAGCACACGTGTGTGTGTGTGTGTGTGTGTGCGGGCGCGCGCGCGCGTCGCTCTAGCATTTGGAGGACGGGAAGAACCTGCCGGCCGAGAGGAACTTGTAGCCGTTGGCGGCGGGCAGGCGCAGGGGCCGCGGGGGGCCGGCGGCGGCGGCGGGCGCCTCCCAGGGGCCGTCGGCGGGCGCGTCGCGGCGCCGGGCGGGCGGCAGCTCGCGCAGTTCCAGCCGGTCCCCGCCGCCCGCGCCCGCGCCCGCGCCGCCGTCCTGGTCGCGGCGGCGCGGGGAGAGGTTGAGGAGGCCGAGCACGTCCCGGCGGGCCGTGAGGGTCCCGGGCGCGGCGCGCGGCGGGCCCCCGGCCTGCGCGAACATCTTGAGGTCGTGCACGGCCTGCACCTTGGCGTCGGCGTTGGCGTTGGCGTCGGCGGGGGCGGCGGGGGCGCGCGGGGCGGGCGGCGCGGGGCTGGAGCGCGCCGAGCCCGCCGACGACGACGCGAACGAGAGCGCGGGCGACGGGGCGCTGCCGGCGGGCGAGGCGCCGCGGGGCGAGCCGGCGATGTGCGCGCTGTAGGGCGAGCTGGGGTACTTGGGCTTGAAGCGGGGCGACGCGGCCGCCGACGACACCGACGCCCCCGACGCCGCCGCCGCCCCCTCGAGCGAGCCGGGCGCGTCCGAGGCGCTGCCGGGGCTGGCGCGGCCCGACGCGGCCTGGGGCAGCGACGAGCTGCGCGCGGGCGGCCGGGGCTTGGCGGGCGCGGCCGGGGGCGCGGGCGGCGCGGGGGGCGCGGGCGGCCGGCTGAAGGCGCTGGTCTCGGACGCGCGGAAGACGACGGCGGCGGGCGCGGGGGGCGCGGGGGCCGGGCCGGGGCCGCCGTCGGGCGCGGCCCCGCGCTGCAGCCGCTCGACGGCCAGCAGGTGGCTCTGCGTCTCCTCCAGAATCTTCTGCGCCAGCTCCTGCGGGTCCAGCGCGCCGCCCGCGCCGCCCGCGCCCCCCGGCGCGTCGTCCTGCGACTTGACGGTGCTGTCCGTCTCGGTGCTCGACTGGTCCGACTCGCCCGCGTCCGGGCTGGCCAGCCGGCCCACCTTCTGGAAGGGCGAGTTGGGGCTGGGGATGAGCGTCACCCTCCTGGCGGGCGAGTTGGGCGTGCTCACGCTGCCCTTGGAGCTGACGGACGCCTGCAGGCGGCCCCGCGCGGCGGCGGCGGCGGCGTCGGGGGAGAAGCGCGCGACCCCCGCCGCCGGCCCCCCGGCCCGGCCCTCCGCGTAGGCCGCCAGCGGCTCGGTGCTGATGATGGAGAAGCCCTGGTACTCGTCGTCGTCCTTGGCCCCGCCGCCGCCGCCGGGCCGCGCGTGGGGGGACGCCTGGCTCCGCGGCAGCGTGGCCCGCTGCGGGTAGGCGCCCTTGGGCCCCCGCGCCGGGACCCCCGCGCCCGCGCCCGCCTCGGCCGCCGCCGCCGCCCCCTCGGCCTTGGACGCGAAGCTCATGGACGAGGCGATGGAGCTCAGGCTGTACACGGAGATGGCGTCCGAGGCGAGGCCGTCGGCCGCCGTCGGCGAGAACGGGGGGTGCTGGTACCCCAGGGGCAGCGCGTTGGACACCGACTGCGCCGAGGCCAGGGACTCCAGCGACGACGAGCTGTCCAGGCTGAGGCGCTTGGGCAGCTCGGTGGAATCTGCAGGGCAGACGCAAGCAGGGGCCGGTTAGAAGCCTCGCCGGCCGGCCGGGCACGTCCAGCGGCCACCGCCCCGCTGCAACCCTGACACGAGCCGAGGTCGGCGCGGACACCGAGAAGCGAGGAGTGGACGTGCCACAGGGCAGCCTGGAGCCTTCACGCTGCATCCTGCGGCACCCCAAAAAAGCTCCGCTCTGCTCCCTCAATCACGGACCGTGGCGACCTCCTTCCAGCAGGGCCCAGTGCCCGTGGGCAGCCCGTGACGGCCACGGCCTGAAGCCGCATCTGCCTCCCACCAAAGCTCTTGGTCTTGCTCTCTTGCAGTGCTTTTCCCCCCAACTTTACCTCTCACCCCGGCTTTCCTTCACCCCTGTTCTTATCAAGGTGGTGTTCTTATAACCTATTCTTATAAAGGCCCCCCTGTGGCCTCTGAACTTTCATGCCCAGAAGCAGAATCCGCTTTCCTCGGACCTGACACAGCTCAACCAGCTATATCCAGACCCAGACTAGGGTGCCCAGCTGCCTGATGGATATTTCTAAACGTGCCCACAAAGGATTTTGGACCCCTTCCCTCTGCCGCTCTCAGGATCGCCAACAGTGGGCTACAGATCATTTTGTTTGCTGTTCCCCAGAACGGGGAATCTCACCTCCTTCCTGCTGACTCATGCCTCAGCGTTTTGTCCCCACCCCTCAGGCGACACTGCCTCAGAATACACCGGGTTCTGCCCACACAGCCACAGCAAGGTGGGCACACCCAGCCACCGTGTCTGCTCTGCTGCCACCATTCTCCTGTCCCATCCCTTGCTCTGTGCTCATGTTCTTCAGCGCCCTAGGCAGGATGTCACCACACACCTGGCCTGGATTTGAACTGCTTCCCCCTGACCAGAGCGAGCAGTTTGGGTTCCTGCAGCCACAGTGACTGTGTGACTCGAAGAGCCCCTCACTCAGGCACACTGAAATCTTCCTCCACGTTTCCCGCCTACCCAGAGGCCAGCAGGCGTGTGCCAGAGGGTGGGGGGCACTGTGTGTAGACTGGCGGGGCAGAGGCTCTTACCAAAGAGAGCGAGCAAGGACTGGAGCGCAAAGTGCATGGTGCGACGGTTGGCCTGTTTCCCGGTTTTCAGTATTACTTCCTCCTGACCCACTTCGCAGAGATCAAATCCTGGAGGAACAAAGGAAGTGGACAGCTGCTTTCTCAGGGAAGATCTGTTATCCCGAAGAACCTCCACCCATCGTCTCCTGGAACCCCACAGCGGGCTCACCCACCTCGCCCCCAACGCCCCCACTCTTCCCCCCCACCTCACACTGTGTGTGTGGTTAGTCAGACACTGCCCGATCTGGCCCTCTCAGCCCCTGTCCCGTTGACGTTCCTACTTCCTGCCCACTTCTCAGAAGTCAGGAGGGCTCCTTACCCTTTTGTTCTTTGCTCCAGTCATTCCTAGAAATGTACTGAACACGTGGCCACCCGAGTCTACTACCCGGCCCACACTTGAATGTGGTCTAATTACAACAGATTGTCAGTGTTGGTGTCAGCATGTTAAAGGAGACTATCCAGGACAAGACTAGCTCTTCCTGGGTGAGTCCCAATTCCTGCCCTGCCAAAGCCCCAGCCGCACCCATCCCCCACCGCTGCAGCCACACCAAGGGCCCAACTCCACCGGTTTACTAATACTCTGCAGAAACACTGAACTGTGAAAAATTTCAGGTACCTTGGTGTCTTTTCGAGAACTGTGGGGTCTTCTTGGAATTGGGGGTGGCCCACCTCCCCCACTCCCCTGTACTTCTGGAAGCCCCGCCCACTGCCCACAGCCACTTCGATGTCAACCATAACCCCATAATTCCTCCATGCTGAAATTCCAGTGCGAGCACAGCAAATTAGATGGGAAAGTAACGTAGAAGCCCTCTAAACTCAACAAAAACAATAACACAGGAGGCTCAACTAGCAACAAACAGCTAAGTAAACCCTGAAACAAGGACTTAACAAACCCCATGATGAGATGGAACGATTTTCACACAAACTTTTTAAAAACGTATCAAGTTTAATATTGGAGCTTTTTCATTAATCAGTTTCAACTCTAGAATTGAAAGTTGTGGCTTTGTCCACATTCAAAACAAAACAAAACAAAACAAACTGGGGGCTGGAGCCATAGCACAGCAGGTAGGGCGTTTGCCTTGCACACAGCTGACTCGGGTTCAATTCCCAGCATCCCATATGATTCCCCAAGCACTGTCAGGAGTAAATCTTGAGTGGAGAGCCAGGAGTAACCCCTGTACATCGCTGGGCGTAACCCAAAAAAGCAAAAAAAAAAAAATCCTTGAAATAAAAAAAGACTGCCCTCTCCTTCAGCAGTGGGTCTGGCTAGGGAAAGGCAGGAGCATCCTTAGTCCACGGGGCTGGGGGAGGAGGGTGGAGGAGAAGGGGACGGGGGTGGTGGTCAGCGGTGCCATGCACATTCTCTGCCTTGGAGAGCCTCCTTTCCCAGCTGGCCTTCCCTGCTGGGGCTCCACGGGCTCTGCCAAGCCCAGGGAGGCTGCTCCTTCCAGCTAAGTTCTAATGAGATGAAGAGCGTGCGACAAAGGGTAGCAGACTGGCTAATGAGTTGTTGACGCAGCACTCAGGCCCATTCAGAGATGTGGCACCTGGCCCTTCTCCCAGGGAAGTGCCCAGGAGGGAGACACCAAATGCAGAATGCCAGAGTGATTGGCTGTGCCCACAAGTGGGCATCACCAAATCAGATTTAAGGCTGAGAGTCCCCACTCTGCCACCTCAGCCAATGCAGACTGTCCCTGGGGACAGGTGCCTCTGATGGGTCCTTCCTGGCTCACAGCGGCTCAGAGTGCAGGGGTCAAACAGTACAGCGGCTTCACCTTTCAAGAGAGTGACTCAACCCATGGAGAGACCTGTCTGTGTGTCTGTCTGTGATTTCTCGTTCAGAGGTCCTGACTTTGAACTGAGACTCCATCATTCCCTTTGGGAGCTCGGTTAGCTCAGGAGCCACTTAGCGTTCTGGTTGCTATGAAACATTTTCCTTTTGAACCATCTCGAAAATAGTTTCGGAAAGCAACAAGAAGGCCTCAGAGAACTCAGCTCTCAGTAGCTATTAAACATCCTGTTTCAGGTGGAAACCGTCGTGCTGTATCCCAACAAACAACGGGCTGAATTGCTCCAGCGGAACAGAACCCTGAGATCAGGGACAGCCCATGGGGGTGGTGAGACTGCCGCGTCTGCCCAGTGTGAGTGCATATGCGGCCGCGCAGTCCAGAGACTTCAGGATCTGTGGTCCAGGCCAATGAGTTGACAAGATGCAGAGTCAGGGAAACTGCCCAGCCCCGAGGAAGATCTCCACTCTCCCAGGAAGAGACAGAGAGGTTTCGGGATGTTGTGCTCCATCAACCCTGTACTTGTCTGAACTTGGATTTCTCAGCGAGGAGACCAGCTCCATCACTCCCAAGCCAGGGAATCTCTGGGCCTGTGAGGAAGAGCCTTACCCATTGTCAAGAAAGGCTTTAGCTTCATCCGCTGATTCACCTGAGTCCCTGCCCTGGCCAGCCCACAGCTAGCTGGGGATGTGCAGAGTCGCCCCCAGTATAGACTTGGCCTCTCTCCTGCCTCCATTCATGAGTTGACTGGGATGGAAGCTCACTGAGTTTAAACGAAACCAAGTATCTGAAATCTCCACCTGAGCAAGGATGCCAGTTACTTAATCTGCAGGTACTTCAGAGTCCTTGGAAGATTTTTGAGCCCCCCACCCCTTGCCTAGGAAAGCAAATGAGAGGCTGGAGAGATAGCTGAATGGGCTGGAGCCCATGCTTTGGACTCAGGAGGCCCGAATTTGATCCCCACCGCTGTATGGTCTCCTGAGCACCCCAGGGAGCCACCCTGAAACACTGAGGTGGGAATAGCTCCTGAGAACTGCCCTCTGTCTCCCAAATATAAATAAAATAAATGAAAAAACAAATGGAGTAATCCCTAAATTGAGGGAGCTGGGAAAGGTCATCTAAAAAGTTGGACAGACAAAGATGACTGGGCCCTGACAGATGGAAGTGGGGCCACGTCATCCTTTCAAGCCTCCCAGAGTGAAAGTCAGGTGCCTCCCCTGGGCCCTGAGGTCTCCTCTCCCGCATGCCCCCACCCGTCTCACACTCAGCTCTTCCTTGACTGCTTGCTCGGCCAGGGTCTCCCCTCCTGAAACACTCTCTGTTCCAGCCAGTGTTCAGGATGCTGATGACTGGTCCATGGTGCCACCCCCCACTTTCTGCCAGGCCTCCTCTGTCCATCCTCTGTCCATTCCCACTGGACTGAACGCCCTGAGGGAAAAGGCTTTTGGCCTCTGCTCACTCCTAGTGCTGGGAGCATTTTCTGGATACTAGCTATTCAAAATCAAACAGAATTAACCCTTTGTCGATGATGTGCTCCCAAGGAAGCCCCACAGGGTCTTCGGCAAGTCACAGGCTCCTGGGACTCATCAGTTGCCCTGGCCGGATCCCATATGGCAGAAGGATATGTCTGTGGTTGCACACGGGCCCTGGGGGTGCATCTCAGGCTGCCTGGGGGAGCCCAAGGAAGGTCTTTCCCTCATAATCCTACTGAGGCAGGCAGGTAGATAGGAGAGGGCTCATGGCAATGGGATTTCTGAGAATTAATAAATCCAATAACACTGAAGCTGCAAGAATTAAGGCCTGAGAAGATCTTCCTGGTGCCAGTGCCAGACCCTGAGGAGGCTGGACCCCACAGAGACACAAAGTTCAGCAGAGAGAGACTGCAATCACCAACCTGAAGGAGATTTACGACACCTGAATGACCCTCCCCCCCAAGAGAAACTCTAGACCAAGGCAAGGCCCCCCTTGGCAACCACCCTACCAACAAATCACCTAGCTAGAAAGCCCCACATGGGGGCAGGTGGAGAAACCCTAGAAAAGCTACTGAGAACAAAGGAAGGGCATGTACAGGCTGCCTGAGCCCATGTGCTGCTTGTGTCCACATGGCCGAGCACATGTGGTGTCCAAGTACATGTGTTGCCCACATCTCCCCTCTTGAGATGTGTACTAGAGCTCTCTCCATCCTTGGAGAAGCCCACCTTCTTCCTTGAATGCATTACCCTCCCTCACTTTCTCTCCCTCCTTCTTCTGAAAAAATCTTCAAGTAAAATCTGTTTATAGTTCACTGCTTGTCTACTCACAGCCTGTAAACCCTGGGTAAGGCCTTGGACTCCTTTCCTGCAAAGAGCAAATCCTTGCTCCATCCTGAGTCCTAGACTTCCCAGTTGGTCCAGGAGTGCTCATGGTGGATCAGGAGAAAGGGATCCTCTCTCTTCTCTTCACCTTACATAAGCCACCCACGGGAAACCACCGACTTCACTACCAGCCAGTGTCAGCAGTTAGCAGTGAAGCCGTTGTTCTCTGGCTGCGTAATCCAGTCCGGGCTTGACTGCCCCGCAATGCTGATTCTTGCTCTTGGAACAGTGAAGACCAGGGAGACAGCACTGGTGCATAAAGGCATTTGCCTTGCAAATGGCCAAGCCTGGTTCGAATCCCAGCACTAACCATGGTCCCCTGAGCACCTCCAGGCTCACTCCAGAGCACTGCCAAGTGTGGCCTGAAAGCCCCCAAAATTAGAATGATGGATATGAAAGAGAGATGAGTGTCTCTTGAACGTTTTGAATAGATTTGGCTCCATGGAAGCAGCAGAACCTTCCAGTAGCCCATTCAAAGTGATCCGGTATGGAAGAACATTAACCTCAATCCCTGGCAGAGTCGGAGACTCACAAAGCCGGAGAGAAGCCAGGGAAACCAGTTTGGTTGGTGGTGGGCTGGCGGGATAGAAAAGAAGCCTCCGGAACCCCGTGCACCTACCGAGAGCGGCCAGGAACTCGTGGCAGCCGGGGAGCCGCCACAGCTGCACACTGATGGACACCTGGATGGGCGCCGCCGCCAAGTCCTGCTCCTTCTCGCCGGCCTGCAGCTGGACCAGCACCTGGTGGAGCTGAGCAAGGGCAGTGGCGTGAGGCCTCGCGCCGGCTCCAGGCCTCCTCTCCCCACCTACCCCGGGCCCCTGGCCACCCAGACGACTCCTCTGTCACCAGCCACTGTTGCCGCTAATGACCGTTGGCTTCCCTGAGCACCCCATCTGAACTGCGGTGCTTTCCTGCCGCCTGTCCCGTGGTTCTCTCTAGGGCACTCCTGAAGTGGCCTCGGGAGGCTTGGCGGGCTGCAGTGCTGGCTGTGCATGCAGGAAGCCCGAGTTTGATCCCTGCACCACAGAACTGGGAGCACAGAACTGTGAGCAGCCCCCTGGGCACCGCTGGGTTGCCCCTCCCCCCAGAAACACTAAGGGGAAACATGAATAAGTTAGGGAGTCTGCTTCCAGCCTCACATCTGCCCTCCTGAGGAGAGGGACTTGGGGCCTTAGATGAGGGGGCGTCTCAACCCTTTCCCACCTGCAAGGAAATTATGTGTCTGAAATTTCTGCCTCTAGCTCCTCCCTAGATATAGAGAATAGCACACAGAACAAACCTGGACAGATGATAAATTCTAACATTTTAAAAAGGTTCGTGACTCCTCTACCCCACCCCATATGAACCCGGAGCTCAAGAAGCTAAGGGTCAGAGGACACATGATCTTCCTCTTTTCGGCATTCATGATGTTTCGGGGGAAAGGGCCAAGAACCCAGAGCCACACGCTGGAACCTCAGCCCTCCCCAGAGGGACCCCCGGGGGGTCCTTGGCACATGGGCAGGGCTGTTCCTGTTTTCCTGCGAGTCTGTGAAACTACTTGGGGGGATTTTGAGGGGGAATGCACAGTGTCACTCCTGCCTCTCTGTTCCGGCCACAGTGGAAAGGCCCAGTGAAGAAGGCAGTAGGCTGGAGCAGGGAAGGAGGGCCGGGACGGAGGACCTCAGGGCTACCCGCTCTGGTAGCCCTAGCCCGGGTGCGAGCTGGCATATGCAGTGCAGGTGGCACTAGGCAGCGGTGGCGCACGGGAGGGGGCCTCAAAGCTCAGCGCTTGCTTGCTTGCTTGCAAAGGGAGGGACTGGGAGGAGGGTTGCAGGGGCTCACCTGACAGGAGCTGCTATTTAAAGTGGTACTCACCATTCCAACCATATTTTTAACAGCCTTCGGCCAGCAGATTATAAGGACAAGAAAGAGACAGAGAGAGAAAGAGAGAGAGAGAGAGAGAGAGAAGAGAGTTTAGACTCAAGCACAGGTCCTTATGCAACATGAGCTGATCGCTGCTGTGGGAAGCGCCACGCCAGGCCCGCGCTGGGGAGGGGAGTGGAGGGAGAGGCAGCGGGGACACAGGGAGACGCAGGGGCAGCGGTGGCCGTGCGCGCATGGTGGCCCGCGTGGGCAGGAGAGGAGCGGAGCAGGATGGGCTTCCGTGGGAGGCGTGAGCGGGCCACTCTGTGACTCCAAGGCCACGGTGACTCCCCGGATACGGCCCTGGAACCTGGCGGAGTGTGGGCTGCCAAGTCGTGGCCACTTTTTGGACTCTGAGCCCTACCCCCACGGTCCTCGCTGATCCCAGCCTTGGGGTCCGGCCCTTCCCAGCCCAGGCTCTCTTCAGAGAAGTCCCTGCCTCGGTCTGTCCAACGTGAGCTCTGAGGAAACGTGCCGGAGGGCCGCGAGAGGGGTTCGCGCAGAACCGCGTTCCTGGGTCATTGTGTGAGATGCTCCTAGGTCAGTGGATTGAGGGAGTTGCTGCCCAAACCCCAACTTCCAGGCCACGGTTCTGGCTATGGAGAAGGCACCTGGGAACTTCTCTGCTTCCAGTGACACCTGCCGTGAGGTCCGAGCACTGTGCACAGGTTGGTTTTCCTGGGTCATCCCACTCCAGCGTGCCCACAGAGCAGGGCTGGATGACCCTCTGGGGGCTGCTTCCAGCCTGTCCCATCCGGCTGGAGGTGAGAAGCCCCGAGGCTGAAGGCTGGGCAGGCCTCCTGTGCCTCCGTCTCTGTCGCTTTAGAGGCCGGCCTCCACCTCCACTGCCCATCCCTCCAAAGCAGACCCATGACTGGGGTTCAGGCTCAATGCTGGCCTCAGTGGGCTGGTCCAGGACTGGGATATATTGCCCCTCTTTTTTCACGTTCATGCTGTACTTCTTATCCAAAGGGATTTTCACAGGTTTACCAGACTGTCATGCTTACATGTGTGAGGGGCATGGTGTTAGCCGACCACACCTGTCGCCTAAGGGCCAAGCTTCCTCCCCAGTGGGACAGCCTGGCGGGTACCACTCAGACCAAGCCAGAGTGCAACCATGACAGGCGGCAGAAATGAGAAAAATCAGGTAGGCCTCAGCTTCAGTTCCAGGGACTGAAACAGATTCAATCTCTCAGCAATGAAACAATGTGTAACTAGCCAACCTGAACCCACCTGGGTAGTTCCTGGGCCCAGTAAATGGGCTCAATCAATCACTGTGCCTCAGTTCTTATGCCCCAGAAATGATCTTTTGTTAACCATAAGGAATGGGCAGCCTAGGTAAGTCATAAAACTGGTACTGTTATTGGAAACGATTGTTTAATTGTTGCCTGATCAGTGTCACCATAGTGCTTGCTTAACTTTGAAACTTTGAACTCTACATAAGCCGTCTGTGATTTGGAGTCAGGGTCCTTGTCAAGACTGCACTGCGTTGGATGAGACTTGGACCCTAGCTTGAGCTAGCAATAAAGTTCCTTTGCTTTTGCATCATCCTGTGTGGACTTGGTCTCTTCACAACTGGGGATCTGAAATTCGGAACTAACATACCCCTTGCCTCCCAGGACCTCGGTCTGTGATCAGAGTCCAAGGGTGGGTTTCCACTGGCTACTGTCTCTGCCCTGGCTTTCCACACGAGTGAGGTCAGTTGGTATGTCCTTCTCCTGCTGACCCGATTGAGCAGGACTCTGCAGCTCAGCCCATGCCGTAACAAGGGGACAGGCTCTGTTGTTTCCAAGAGCTGACCAGCATGGGGTATGGACAGGCCAGGACTTCCGTATGGGTTCATCTGTCATCGGGGGCTTGTTTTGTCCAAATCTCGGGTATTGGAAATGGGGCTTTCATCAATGAATGTAGTGGTGCCCGTGTGTGTGTGTGTGTGTGTGCGTGTGTGTATATGTGTGTGTGTGTGTGTGTGTGTGTGTGTATAACTTTTGGATCAGGCAGTAATTCTGTGTTGAATGTTTGTGAAATTTCCATGCTGTTTTCCACAGAGGCTGGACCAGTTTAGTAGCCGAGGGTGTTTTTCTGTCCATCCCCAGCACTGACTTGTGGGCTGGTGTTCCACCCGCTGGTGTGAGACAGGGCTGTAACTCTGGCCCTGTGGGGAGAAGGCTGGTGGGCAGGGTGGCATGGTAGTGGGTCCTGCAGAGCGGGATGGTCGGGGAGTGGATGGGGTCACAGGTGCCATTTCCCTGCAGGTCCCTAAGTGTGTGGGGTCAGGGGTCCAGAGGTTTCAGCTCTCTCCCTTCTAGCCCTCACCTGTTCCTATGACTCCAAAAGCCGAAAAAGCCTGAGTCTTACCGGCTCACTTCAGTCTCCCGTTTGGGGCCAAACCGTTTCTCTCCACGCATGCCCACCCCGCGGGCCTGGGCCCAGCACTCACCCGGCTGATAAGCTGCTCGCCCGTCTCAGAGGCGGTGATGAGCTTGCAGAGGGCCTGGAGGGCGGGGTTGGGCAGACCTGAACCAAGGAGAAGAGGGAGGGACAGTCACCTCCGGAGCCTCCCCCCCGAGCCCTGCCTCCTTCTCAGGGGAATGAGCCCAAAGAGCCTTGGTGGCATTTTGCAAAACCCCAGGACAGGGGCGGGAGAGAGTACAAAGGGCTCATAGGTGTATGCTCCTCGTGAAGGAGGCCCAGGGCTGAGCACTGAGCCAGGAGTAGCCCCTGAGGAAGGCTAAATGCGGCGGCCCCACACCCACCATCTCAGGCCACCTTGATGCACAGCCGCTTGTCGGAGCTGGGGAAGACAGGTGGGTGGTGGCGAGGGCTAGCCTTGACCTCTGTGGCACCCTAGAAGCCAGCCAGGTCCCTGCACAGAGCATACTCAGCCCCAACGGAGAGGCATGCTGAGCCTGGCTTTGTGCAGGGGCTGGGTCACTGCCATGGCACCAGCCTGCCCAGCTCTGAGGTCACCCGGGAGAGGCAGAGCCTGGAGAGTGGCTGCTGTCTCTGAGGTGCCCACCTGTGATGGGTGGATCAGGCCAGGTGACCTGTGTCCTCTACTCAGAAGCTGGGATGGGGCCTGCAGGGATATTCCAGGCAGGCTGGGGTAGATGGCAGCTCCCAAGGGGCCCAATGGGTTCAACAAGCAGGGAGTAGAGGGTCCCTCATTCACCCAGCAGGGACTGGAGGGTCCCCCACTCACCTAGCAGGGACCAGAGGATCCCCCATTCAACCCAGCAGGGTCCCTCCACTTACCCAGAAGGGATTGGAGAGTCCCCCAATCACCCAGTAGGGATCGGAGGGTTCCCCACTCACCCAGTAGGGATCAGGGGGTCCCCCAATCACCCAGCAGGGATCAGAGGGTCCCCTAATCACCCAGCAGGTACCAAAGGGTCCCTGTACTCACCCAGTAGGGGCCGAAGGTCCTCCCACTCACCCAGCAGGGATTGGAGGGTGCCCCACTCACCCAGCAGGTACCGGGGGGTCCCCCACTCGCCCCACAGGTACCGCAGGGTCCCCCACTCACCCAGCAGGGACTGGAGGGTGCTGCTACACTGCTGTAGCCTCTCGCCGGGGTCAGAGGTCGGGAAGAAGACAGCTGCGGGCAGGCCGCTGGCGGGGGGGTCCAGCCGGAAGCCCACGGCGGTCAGCAGGGCCTGCCAGCCCGGGATGCCGCCCACTTTGTTCTCCACGCTCTGCTGGGACGTGTACATGGCATTGCGCTGCCCGTTCTGGATCCGCTGCAGGGACTTCTCCACCTGGGGGCGGAGAGCAGGGGAGGCAGCGCTCAGGGCCCAGCCCCAGGGGACACAGAGTCCCAGGAGACGTGCAGGCCAGTCTGCCACGCCACAGGCTCCCGGAGGAGGGGGGCAGGTGTCCGGGGAAGGGCAGTCCGAGCCGGCTGGGGGAGCTGGCCATGCCCCTGCACTCCCGCCAGCCCCCGTCCCCCACCTGCCCGGCCCCTGCTTACCAGATGCAGCAGCACACGCAGGGCGTCCCGGGCGCGCTCCGGGTGCTGCAGGATCTCCGCCAGGGACTGGCCGATGAGCGACGAGGGGCTGTTCAGCTTGACGTCGCTGCCAATGAGCATGAAGCCTGCCGGGGGAGGGGGAATCTCAGAACCCGCCTGCCCGCCCTGGGATGGCAGAGAGGCAGCTGCGCCCATGCGGGGGTGGCTTGCTAGCCTGGACGGCTGCTCTCCTCCCGGTGGGCCCAGGCCAGTGAGCGGAGCTGTGGATTGGGCGGGCAGGAGGGGGCACCGGACCCTTCATTCCCTCTCCCCACTTCCGGCACTGCCGCCCCGGAAGATGATACCTGTCCTGGTTCAGCCACTGTCTGTCTGGTGGTCTCTGAAGTGCACCTGTGTCCACTAGAATGTGCACAGATCTGGGTGCGGATGTGGTGGTGTGACTTGGGACCACTAGAGAAAGGTGCCAGGGTGGTGGTGGGGTGCCACCTTGGCCTGGGCCGGGTCAGACCCACATGTTCTCTCTCTGGGAGTTCCAGCCCTTTCCTTGTGGGCCCATGATGCTCCCCTCCCAGGGCCCAGAGGGTGCAGGTCAGTGCCTCAAACTTCTTCTTTTTTTTTTTTTTTTGCCTTTTGGGTCACACCCAGTGATGCACAGGAGTTACTCCTGGCTCATGCACTCAGGAATTACTTCTGGCAGTGCTCGGGGGACCATATGAGATGCTGGGAATTGAACCCGGGTCGGCTGCGTGCAAGGCAAATGCCCTACCCGCTGTGCTATCGCTCCAGCCCCTGTGCCTCAAACTTCTAAGCTGCCCACCCCTGCCCCCAGCAAGAACTGGAAAGGGTCTTTTATTTATTTATTTATTTATTTATTTATTATTTTTTGGCTTTTTGGGTCACACCCAGTGATGCTCAGGGGGTTACTCCTGGCTCTGCACTCAGGAATTACTCCTGGTAGTGCTTGGGGGACCATATAGGATGCTGGGGATTGAACTCAGGTCGGCCTCATGCAAGGCAAATGCCCTCCCTGCTGTACCATCGCTCGGGCCCTGGAAAGGGTCTTTTAAAGAGCGTGAACGAGCCACAGCCTATTATTAAGGTCACATCAGTATAAAACAGCCTCGGCAGGGGCTGGAGCCAGAGGACAGCAGGGAGGGCGCCTGCCTTGCACACGGCCAACCTGGATTTGCGCGCCAGGGCCCCATATGGGTCCCCCCTGTGCACCTCCAGGAGTTATTCCCGAAGGCAGAGGCAGGAATGAGCCCTGAGCTTCACTGGCTGCGAAAAACCCAAACAAAAAACCCCAAAAAAGCAAACAAACAAAATACAACGGCCTCCTCGGGACAGAATCTGCATGGCTGTCGGTGAAACTCGGATGATGGGGCTGTGCACAGAGGGGGCACACGACCAGCACACGGTTCCTGCACATCCACCGGGGTTCTGTGGGTGCTGCGCAGGGTGGGTGCCAGGCGGCAGGAGAATGGTGTCGCTTTGGGTTGGTTTGTTTGGGGGCCACACCTGGCAGTGCTCAGGGTTGACTCCCGGCTCTACTGCACTCAGGGATCAGTGCTTGGGGGACCCTATGGGATGCCGGGAATCGAACCCAGGTTGGCCGTATATTAAGACAATGCCCTCCGTGCTGTGTTATGGCTCCAGCCCTGGAGGGGTTTGCTTCGGACTGAGGCGACTGAGGCAGCAGAGCCCGGCCTCAGCCCTGGCACCCGCTGTTGTTCTGGCTACCTCAAGGAATGGGGTGCAGTCCCAGGGGAGGCCACCCACTGCACTTCTGCGGGACATGTTCTCTCTTTTTATTTTTTTTTTCTTTTTGGGTCACACCCGGAGATGCACAGGGGTTCCTCCTGGCTCTGCACACAGGAATTACTCCTGGTGGTACTCAGGGGACCATATGGGATGCTGGGAATCGAACCCGGGTCGGTCATGTGCAAGGCAAACACCCTACCCGCTGTGCTATCGTTCCAGGCCCACGCTCTTGTCTCTTCAGCCATGTGAGGACACGAGACTTGGCTCTGGCTGTTTCCTCCTGAGGCGTGTGACATGCCCCCATGCCCACAACCCCACCAGGCTTCCCCCACCCTACCCCCCCCCCCCCGACCCGGGCTCCACCTCAGGGCTGACCCGCCTTACGGAAATAACTGGGTGGGGAAGGTTGACTGGATTTTTCAATTTCGAGAGAAAGACTTGGGCAAAAGCCATTTCCAAAACAGACCCATACACAGTAGGGGCTCTGTTCCTGCCCCTTGAGAAATAAAGCGTAAATGTCTGAAAATAGAGCCGCGGGGCGCTCGTCTGGGTGTGAGGTGGGCGTCGGTGTCTGTGGCCTGACCAGGGGCAGGGCGGAAGGGACAGAGACAGGCCACTGGCAGCAGGATCCAAGCTGTGTGGTCGGCCTGTCCCCAGCTGGGCTGGCCTGCCAAGGACGGGGGCCTGAGGTCACTTTTGCTCCTTGCAAGGTGAGGTCTCTGTCCCTTAGCTTGAGATCACCTGTCACAGGACTCCTGCCCTTTCTGTGAACAGGGGACAAGAAGCCCAGGGCCAGCACAGATGTCCCCTGAGACCACCTGCGACACTTGAGTTTCAGAGGCGCCTGGCCTGGCCACCGCAGCCTGGTCAAACCTAAGCTCCGAAAGAACCATCACACTCCTCTTGTCTTTAGTCATGGGGTGTCACGTGACAGAGGTCACAGAACAGCATCTGAAGACCCCTGCTGGGCTGGAGTGATAGCACAGCAGGTAGGGCGTTTGCCTTGCATGTGGCTGACCCGGGTTCGATTCCCAGCATCCCATATGGTCCCCTGAGCACTGTCAGGAGTGATTCCTGAGTGCAAAGCCAGGAGTAACCCCTGACCATCACCAGGTGTGACTCAAAAAGCAAAAAAAAAAAAAAAAAAAAAAAAAAAAGACCCCTGCTGAACTTGGGAAGGAGTTTTTGTTTGTTTGGGGGCCCCAGGCCTACACCTGGCTCTGCACTCAGGAATGACGTCAGGCAGTATTCGGGGGACCATATGGGATGCCGGGGATCAAACCTGGGTTGGCTGCATGCAAGGCCGACCTGCTGTGTGATCGCTCTGGCCCCCTATTTGGGAAGAATGTTTATGCTCGCATAGCAAGGTGGGGGGACACCTCTGTGCCTCAGGTGACAGCCCTGCAGAGGGCAGGGTCTTGGCAAATGAGGGTCTCCCCTGACCCCTGCCCAGCTCCCATTCCTGGCCACCTGCCACCTCCAGCCCTTGTGGAGGTCTCTGAGGACTGATCCCTCCCTAGCCCTGGGTCCCACTCTCGTTTTGTTCACTGCTTTTTTGGGGGCCACCCCTGGTGATGCTCAGGGTTTCCTCCTGGCTCTGCACTCAGGGGTCACTCCTGGCAGTGCTCAGGGGACCACATGGGATGCCGGGGGTTGAACCTGGCAGTCATGCGCCAGGTGAAGTGCCCTCCCCGCTGTCCCATCACTTCGAGCCCGTCCGCTCTTACCTGCCCAGTTGGAGGGGGCGGAGAAGGCCTTGCTGCTCTGGACTACCTTCATGGCCTCGGCCAGGGCGGCGCTGGCCTTCAGGCCGTTCAGTAGCGAGGAGTAGAAGGCGTGCAGGAACATCTTGGAGGCGGCCACGGGCACGGGCCAGAGCGCCACCAGCACGCACTGCGCCCCGGCGGCCAGGAAGGCGCGGGTGAGCGCAATGACACCGTCGGCCGTGACCCGGCCGCTGGACTCTTGCGAGGAGCCCAGGACCACCAGCTTGACTGGGAGTCGCAGGTCCAGCACGTCGGCGGCCGTGAGGAGCAGCTCTTGCAGCGGCGGGCAGTCGGAGAGGCTCTCGCCGTCGCTGGCGTCGTCCTGCACGCGCAGGCTCTCGGGGATGGTGTAGGGGTGGCCGAAGGAGCTCTTGCTGCCCACCGGGTTGCCGTCCGGGCCAGGCGTGAGCACCAGGGCCGAGAGCTTCCAGGAGATGTGCGTGGCGAAGTGGACGCACTCGGCCTGGCTCAGGGCGCTCATGACCCTCTCCTTGGTGGCCACGCTGCCCACCAGGGGCTGGCAGCCCAGCAGCTCGGACACCATGTAGGCCTCCTCCTCGGCCGAGGGCATGGGCCCCCACAGCCACCTGTCCATCACGGCCGACGGCAGCTTGGGGTTGCCCACCACGGCGGCCATGGAGGTAGAGCTGGAGTAGGTGGGCGGGCTCTTCCGCAGCTGAGTCTGCAAAGGAACAAGGATGTGGGCTTGGCAGGTGGTCGTGGGCAGGCGGGGCTTCCCTGGGCAGTGAGGAGGGGAACACAGCCAGCTCCCGGCTCAGCTGACACTGTCCATTCCCGTCCCTGCCACAACGTCCTTCAGGCTCGCCTTCAACCCCCTGGGGACCCGGTTTCCTGGTCGGCCCGTGCCACATTCATTCATGTCTCACATGATCTGTTCTGACAAGATCTTTTTTTTTTCTTTTTGGGTCACACCCAGAGATGCTCAGGGGTTCCTCCTGGCTCTGCATTCAGGAATTGCTCCTGGCAGTGTTCAGGGGACCATATGGGATATTGGAAATCAAACCCGGGTCGGCCACGTACAAGGCAAACGCCCTCCCCGCTGTACTATCGCCCCAGCCCCCACCGGCAAGATCTTGAAGACCAGTCAGCACTGGACCGTCGGAGGATCTTTCCTATCTCCCAGGTCCCCTGAGGGGGGTGGTGTGGTGAAAGAGGACGCCTCGGCCTCCGTTTTCCCTCGCCAGCAGCTGCTGAGACCCGCTTAATTTTGGCTGTTACCGTCCCACATTCTACAGATCCCGTGGTTGTCAAGGGCCCTCCCCCAAAGACTGGGTGCCCACAGTTTCTCAAGGCCATAGATGACACCCCAGGTCTTGGGTCAGAGGTCAAATGTGTCCCTAGGATGTCCCTAAGTGGGAAGGTCAGATGTTATTGCTTTTGCTTTTATTGGGGGGGAGGGAGGCACCTGATGGGTGCTCATGGCTCTGTGCTCAGAGACCACTCCTGGCAGCTCGAGGTGGGTGGGGGGAGGGGACCACATGGGGTGCTGGAGACTGAACCCGGGTCAGTCTTGTGCAAGGCAAGTGCCCTGCTCGCCGGACTATCTCTCTCGTCCCCAGGATATCCTTCTTAGCAACACAAACGGGTCAAAATGAACAAGACGACCCAGGGAAGCCCCGGATGCTTTGGTAAGAAACACGGAGACTAACTTTCCTGTACAAACCCACCCCAAATGAGCCGTCCTCAGTCCCACATTAAGTTCTTCCCCCACGGGGGCGTTTCTATCTCTTCAAAACTTTTCTGAGTCTGAGCATCTATATAACTCCATATTTTCATTTCTAAAGCACCTGGGGACCAGGATGAATCCAGTGCCCCGCGGTCAAGCTCCTGCGTCAGAAGGAGGGTGGTGGGGCAGGGCTGCGGGCCAGCTTGCCCATGCCTCACCCACACCTCTGTGGCAGCAACCCCAAGCCCGATGATGAGGGCTCTGAGGGGTGCTCAGGCATGCAAACACAGATCTCTCTCAGGGGAGGCAGGGCGGAACAAAATTTGTCAGAGGCTCACGCGCTAAAAAAGAAGACCCTGGTTCTCTCCCGTGCCACTCAGTGCAAAGGTCACTGAACTGTCAGGTTGGGCTGTGGCCCAGCAAGGCTCTGGTGCCTCTGCCTGGTGCCTTCTGGAAAGCAGCGAAGAGTCTGGGTAGCTCTGTGAGAGGAACACCCGTTAGGTTTCCTGGGGCCCGCCTGGCTCTGCCAGTCTGGTGAGGTTGGTGAAATGCCCGCTAACGGCTGTTGCCATGAGCAGAGCGCCATGCCCAGGTGCCCTGGTAGCAGAGCAAGGCAGCTGGCTGTGGGGTGGGGGTGGGAATATCACAGCGGGGGCCTTACGTGGCTTTGGGGTCAGGATTGCCTGACAGCCATGGATATGGCAGGAATAGGAGCAAACAGTGTCTCTCACTTCAAACAGGCACTGTCTAGGCAAAAGGTATGATGCAGACACAAGAAGAGCCAAAATTAGAGGCTGGAGCAATAGCACAGCGGGTAGGGCGTTTGCCTTGCATGTAGCCGACCCGAGTTCGATTCCCAGCATCCCACATGGTCCTCTGAGCACTGCCAGGGGTAATTCCTGAGTACATGAGCCAGGAGTAGCCCCTGTGCATCGCCAGGTATGACCCAAAAAGAAAAAAAATAAAAAGAGCCAAGATTAGATTTCCAAGGCCCAAGGAGTAGAAACTGTCCAGCAAGAGCTGTGCCAATGCTGGTTCTGAGGCATGCCGGGCTCCTAGGCCAGCAGCCACCTCCTGCCACCAGGGTATGTGTGTGTGTGTGTGTGTGTGTGTGTGTCCTGCCTGATTCCGTCTGGAGGAGGTTCCTGCATGGGGAAAATGCAGAGGGGTGCCGGCACCAGGGCAGAAGAAAACTGGGGTTTGGGGGTTTCTAAAGGTGTCTGGAGGAGGACGAGAGGATTTAGAGTTGGCTGGCTCATAAGGTGCCCGAGTGGTGACAGGGCCACGGGAGGCTGTGGGAGGAGCCTGGACTCGGAAGGGGACAGCACTGGCCCCTCCTGCCTGTCCTCCCTCAGAGCTCTCTCACTGAAGGAGAGCTGGGTCCCCCCAGGTCCCCCAAATGCAGCTCTGTCTGCAGTGCTGAAACTCTGGGCCTGAACAGCTCTGCTGGACCAGCCATCGCCCGGCCTGCCCCCCTCCAACCCCTCCACCCCTGTTGACCCCCACGCTGTGGTCAGCACTTGAATGTGGGGGTGCAGCCTGGGGGGTGCGAGGTGTGGGGGTCCCCCGTTCGCCCAGCTCCATGGCTTTGCCCCTCAGTGCGGAGTGACCCGGCTCAGGATGCCCCCCGCCCCCACGTGGGAGCCCCCCCCACACAGGGGAGTCAGCCTGCTCCCCCTTACCTTGGCTTGGGGGCCGAGGGCGCGGATGGAGGGGATGGAGATGAGGGCGAAGCGCTCGCAGAGGTACTCGTTGGAGGAGGTGCCCTTGAGCAGGGCGAAGGGGACGAGGTAGAGCTCCCCCTCCAGCACCAGGACCAGCTGCCGGTGCCGGCCCACTGGGCCGCTCGAGTGCATCAGGCCCTGCGGAACAAGCGAGGGTGGGGTTGGCGTGGGCGTCCCCAGGTGCCCCCCGCCCCAGGGCGTGGGCGGGAGTTAGAGGGCACTTGGGGACTCCTTGCGGGAAGTCTGAGCCTCTGTAATTCTCCCCCTCACCTCCTCCAGGGCCAGGAGGGACCCTGGTACCCCTGAAAGGACCCGCGCCCCTGGAGGAGGGGTGCCCCAGGCCCCCAAGGGGGTGAGCCCTCTGTCCGAGACAGGCCTGAGACACCAAGCCTGCGTCTCTCAGGGCTGCGTCGGGACAGGAGGGACACAGAGAGACACTGGCGAAGACGAAGCGGGGGCGGCAGGGTGGTGGTGGACACGTCCTCCAGACCAGGGCTGGTGTCCAGGAGATGCTGCCCTGTGCTGCAGGGTGGGGACAGAGGACCCTCTCGTGGACTGTGCCAGCCCTAAGCCTGGTGCTTGGGGTGGCACTGGTTCTTAGGATTATTCTGCCGGACTCCTGCTCTGCCCCCTGTGTCTTCGTCTCTGTGTGCAGTTACATTCTTCTGTCTGCTCTCTGGCCTGATTTCCGGCGGTGGTGCTGGCCTTGTGGCGCTTTGCACTGCCGGGGGACAGCGCCCAACTCCCAATGCCTTGTCCTCCCCGTTGGCCCCTGGGCCTGCATCCCCAACAGGGCTATCCAGGAAACCCCCGTGTGGCCCTGCAGTGGGGAGTGTCTGGGGGCTGTGCCTGAGAGACGGGGGCAAGGGTGCCAGACCCAGCTGCCCCATGCTCAGAGCAGCCCCCCTGCTGCCCACCCTGCGTGGGGAAGGCCTTGGCCCACTTGTCCCAGGAAGCACCCCGGCTGGGTTGTGTGCTGGGTGGGGGTCAGGGGACTGGCCGCGCTTCTTTTTTTTTTCTTTTTGGGTCACACCCACCGATGCAGGGGTTCCTCCTGGCTCTGCACTCAGGAATTACTCCTGGCAGTGCTCACGGGGGACCATATGGGATGCTGGGAATTGAACCCGGGCCGGCCACGTGCAAGGCAAATGCTTACCCGTTTTGCTATTGCTCCAGCCCCTCTGGGAGACTCTTGTTTGGAGGTCCCCGTATGGCCTCCGAACTGGGCAAAAGACCCCAAAGGGAACTCGGAGCAGGTGACCACAGCTTGGTGGCACCAATGCTAAGGCCAAGGGAGAAGGGACTGAACCGGTTGGACAGACAGATATGCTGGCAGGGTCTCCGAGTTCTGCTCGGTGCCTGGGACAGAGGCCCGTCACCTGTGCTGGCAGATAAACTGTGAGCCCACGCCAACTGGAGCACCAGAAAGCCAGCAACATTAGCGTCCCCGGGTGTAGTGCATGGCGGCCGGCAGATGGTGTGTGGATTGGGGAGGGGCCTGTGCTGGCCGGTGGAGACCAGTTGTGAGCCAGCACAGGCGAGGACACTTGGAACCGTCCGCCGGGACTGTCCCTTCCCTCTGGCCTGTGGCAATGTGTGTTCCAGCACAGGCCCCAGGGGCCACAGGTGTGGCCGCAGGAGGAGGAGGAGGGGGATGAGCCCTTGCCTGGTGGGGGAGCTTCCAGCTGCACTGATGAGTGACCCTGCTTCAGGGCGGGAGGGTGGTTTACAGCCGGGTGACAGGGTGCCCCCTGCAGGTGGCTTTCTGCTAGCTTTGCTCCTGGAGCACCTCAGAGCTTGCTCAGTGCTGAGCCTCTGCGGTGTGTGTGTGTGTGTGTGTGTGTGTGTGTGTGTGTGTAAGCCCCCCCCCCCCAGAGCATAGAAGGGGAGGTTCATCTCCAACCTGGAACCGGCCTTCCACAGCTCCCTCTCCATGCAGTCTGTGGGGGTTGTGGGACTCCCACCCAACTTCCCGCTGCACTGCGGGCTGTCCTTGGGTGCTCTTAGCGGGGAATGCATCTTTCTGGGACCCTCCCCAGTAACCTGCATGGCTGGGGCCTCTCTCCAGACCAGACCGGGATGCGCTAGCAGAGCCAGCCTGGGAACAGGAGGAAGCTTTGTCCACTGAGCAGGAAGGACCGGGCCGGCGCCTGGAGGGAGAGGCCTGGGCCAGGGCCAAGGTGGGGTCAGAAGCTCAGCCCAAGCCTGTCACACTGCCTGCTCCCGGCGGGTGGGGTGGATTCATCTTCGCCGCATGAAGGGAGGAGCATGAAGCTCAGATGGGTGCATCAGAAGGAACAGACTTCACTGTCCTGCTAGGGGCCGACACCGTGTTCCCACCCAGGGCCACCTGAGCATATATTTTTAAGTTTTTGGGCCCCAACTGGCAGTGCTCAGGGGTCACTCCTGGTGTTGCTTGGGGGACCAAATGAGATAATGGGGATCGAACTCGGTCACCTGCGTGCAAGGTAAGTGCCTGACCCGCTGTACTGCCTCCCTGAGTATTTCTAATGTCATGGCGAACCACACAACACAGGCACGGATGGACTGTGGGCTGTGAGCATGTGTGCGTGGGTGCGCGTGTGTGCGTGGGTGCACGTGTGCATCTATGTGCATGCAAGGTGAGTACATGAGTGTGTGCCGCCACGGCCTGGGGCCAGATCACGTGTTTTCATGAACTTTTCACATCCCCTAGGCCAGACGCCCCAGTCCTGATCCAAACCAAGGTTCCCCTCAGACGACTTCTGGGAATTGGGATCCCTCCGAAGTCATCAGAACCATGTACGGGCCAAGGACTATTAGTCAAGCAGAATTTTGTTTCCAGGTTTGGGGACCCACCCAGTGATGGTTGGGGAACTCTGGGCTCCCTGCTGCTTCCTGCCCGCTGGACCACCTCTGTGATCCCCCAAAGCACCTTCTAGGGCTCCTTTCCTTGGAGAAAAGCCCGCATTTCCTAGGGGTGTGTTTAGTCTTAGCAAGAAGCCCAACAGAGCTGGCGTGACCCAAGCCGTGTGCAAAGGAGCAGGCTCCGTGCTCCTCCCAGGACTGGGACGCAGAAACTCAACCCTCAATCTGCAGTCTGGGGCCAGCCACATAACAGCCGCAGATTTGCCCCAAGTCCGAGCAGGGGCAGGGGCACTGGGCACTGGGCACTGGCTAAGTCGGAGGCAGAGCGACCACCTGACAGCCTTTCATGAGCTTTGGGGGCCGGGGCGGGGGAGCCGGGCCCGGGGCGCTGTGTCCTCTTCTTTAAACCAGGGGTAAGACGGGGCTGGCACGCGCACGTCTGGGGCAGGTGGGAGCGGGCACGGGCATGTGTTGGGTAAGAGGGGACGGGCACGCGCCTATGCAGGGCAGGAGGAGCGGGCACGCGCACATGTGTGGGAGGGGCGGGCACGAGCACGTGTGCGGGCAGAGGGATGGGCACGCCTACGTGTAGGGGAGGAGGGGCAGGCACGTGCACGTGTGTAGGAGGGGCGGGCACAGGCACGTAGGGGGCAGGGGTCGGACACGCGCCCGTGGGGGGGCAGGGGCGGGCACGCGCAGATCTCCGGTGCCTGCACATGGCCCGTGGCTGGGCGCTTCTGCTCACCAGGACCTGCCGGGCTGGACCAGCCAGATGCAGTGACCCAGGCGAGTGCGCCCCTGGCTCCGGGTGTGCCCGGCCAGTCCCTGACCCCAGTTTCTCTGCATAGTCCTCAGAGAGGACGCGCTGGCCGCCCTAGGGGGACACGTGTCCTCTCATCTGAGCAGCGCTCCAGAAGTGTCCGTGGGACATCGATGAGCCAACCCCCAGCAGGGGGGTCCTCAGGGCCCCCGCGCCGTCCCTGGGGTCCGGCCACGCTGCTCTCGCGGACAAGCCTCCGCTGGACGTCCAGGCTCAGGGACGCAGGTGTCCGAGCACCGCCCGGCCCTCGACCCTGCAGGCTGCTCCCACCTTGCTCTTGGCAAGGGTCTTCTTCCCCCAGAACGACCCCCACAGTCATGCCCGGCACGGCCCGAGCCAAGCCTGCCCTGGGCCGCGGCCGGCGCAGCTGGACACGCCGGCCACGTGCCCTGAGAGCGGGTGTGGGCTGACCCCCGGGTCCATACGGCCGGCTTGCCCGCCGCACGTGACCCCTTAAGTCCGGGCTACCCCAGGAGGGGTGCTCCCGGGAAGGGGGTCCCTGGATCTGTTCTCCGGGTAGTCAGGGCCCGCCGCATGGGAGGGGGGCTGAGAGGTGTGTGGTGGGACATTCGGGGACGGCAGAATGAGGCCAGGCTGCTGGGAGCCCTGCAGATCTGGGTCTGGGTGGGGCTCCCTGATCAAATTCTAGGCCACTGCCTCCTCCAGGCTTCTGGCTCCTGAGGGTGGGGTGGGGTGGGGGTGTCTGCCTTCTGGGGGCTTCTCCTGGGATGGGAGAATGAGCCCCAGCGTGGACACAAAGGGCCACAGCCTGTCCCTCTGGGGACAGGACACTTGCAAGCTGCCCTGGGGCTCCCACAGACGTGTGTGTGTGTGCGCACGCGTGTGTCTCTTCTGGGGGCCTGGCCTGGCTGTCCCCTGTGATGGGAGTGAGGATGAGCTCCGGAGCGGACACAAAGGGCCACAGCCTGTCCCCCTGGGGATGGGACACTTGCAAGGTTCCTTGGGGCTCCCACAGACGTGTGTGTGTGTGTGTGTGTGTGTGTGTGTGTGTGTGTATGTGTGTGTCTGTCCTCTGGGGGCCCGGCCTGGCCCTCTCCCATGTAGGAGTAAGAATGAGACCCAGCGTGGACACAGAGGGCCACAGCCTGTCTACCTGGGGATGGGACACCTGCAAGCCACCCTGGGCCTCTCCCAGACACGGGGCCGGTTCCTGACTTCAGGTGTGCAGCTGGGGACGCGTCCCCCTAGAGAGACCTGAGGGGTGGGGGGCTGCCCTGGCTGACAGCTGAGGGGAGGCTGGTCTCAGGACAGCTGTGGCCAGAGTCCGTCCCGTGCCAGGGCGCTTGACTCGCTGTGCTGATGGTGGCCTGCAGCCATGGCAGCTGTTGGCAGCGGTGACAGGGGCGAGTCTGGCTGCCTGCACCTGGCCTCTGGGATTGGGCTCTCCCTCCGAGACGTGGTCACGGCAGGCCAGAGCCACGGTGCCGTGTTGCCCCCTAGTGGCGCTCGGCGGGGCTGGCAGCGGGGGCAGCCCCATGGATCTGAGCTGTGGCCAGCGGCCTGCCTTGCCCCCCCCACGGTGGTCTGGTCTTTGAGCACCACGTGGGGGAAGCCACCCCCAGCCTCTGAACCATCCTGCGTGGCCAGGACTATGTGGAGTCCAGAGAATGCTCATTGGCAGGATAGACTAAGGGGTAGTGGGGACTTCTGGTCCCTCCCGGGGTACCTGTGTCCCCCTCGGGTAAAGCCGGGCGTCCCAGGAATGGGTGGCGCACACTGGCCTCTCCCCAGGGGTCAAGTCTCTGGGGACCTGAAAGCAAAGTGGGGAAAGTCAAATACTTGTGGACTAAGGGGTAAGAGGGACTCCAGCTTCCATGACTAGGTGATGCTTTTATTTTGGTGGGGGAGGGGTCCCAAGTATGTTCAGGAGGCCTAGGGGCCCTTCCCAGGGGTTCTTGGCCAACACGGCCAGCTCCGGGGATCCTGGGCCACCCCAGTGGTGCTCGAGGTCTCCATACCTGCACCCAGCAGTGCTCCGAGGACCATGCAGTGCCAGGGATGGAGCAAGGCTCAGCTGCGCTCAGGGCAAGAGCCTTGACCCCAGCATGGTCTGTCCCACCAAGCCCTTCTGGGGTGGGGGGGGTTGCTGAGCCAGCAGAAAGCTCCAACGCTTCACCTTGGCGAGGTTGGTTTCAGGATCCTGCGCCAGGCAGCCAAATCTGTCCGTGTTGTTTAACTCCCAGAAGCGGTGCAGCAGAGAATCTCTGAGACTCTAGAGTGGGGTGTTCTCTTCTACACTGCTTGCCTCATTTTTTTTCCTTTTTGGGTCACACCCAGCGATGCTCAGGGGTTCCTCCTGCCTCTGCACTCAGGAATCACTCCTGGCGGTGCTTGGGGGACCATAGGGGATGCCGCGGACTGAACCCGGGTCAGCCATGTGCAGGTAAATGCCCTCCCCGCTGTGCTATCGCTCCAGCCCCTGCTTGACTCATTTCAAGGCTCAGCTGCACCCTGAAGGAGGCTGTGGGGGTGTGGGCCTATCTCCTCAGCAGGTGCCCCCAGTGGACAACAGAAGTGGCGGGTGCCCCCTGGGTCTGGGGCCGGCCAGGGCCTTCCTTCCTGCAGTGGCCTCCTAAAACAGCACCCTAAGCCTGCAGTGCTCTGGCCCTTCTTCAAGGCTGCTCTCCCCGAGGTGGGTGTGTATTGCTGCCCTGGTGGACAAGAGGCCAGGCCAGGATCTGGGCTGGAGGAGGATAAGAGCCAGGAAAGGAGGCCAGTGCATGGGGCAGGGTACAGGAGCCGGGGCGTCCGGGGGCCATGCGTGGGGTGGCCGGGGTCTGTGGCGCTGGGGGTAGGCACTGCAGCTCTGCAGGGCCAGTGGCAGTGACCAGCCCAGTGACCAGAAGAGGGCAGTGTCTCCCGTCCCGTGTGCTCTGCCTTACCTGAGGGGAACACAGGGCCCCCCCGGAGGGAAGGCACCTGGAGTGGGCAGTGCCGGTGTGAGTACCAGGCAAGTGGGCAGGAAGCCGACAACCCTGAGGGTCCCAGAGCGTTTTCCTGAGGCCACACTACGCTGTCAGCCGGAAGGCCCGTCACCCCAACACAGGGCTGTTTGCTGGCCCGCGGCCCACGCTGCAGAGCAGGGACATGACTGGCCACTGGCTGGCTGCCAGCCCTCGGGGCTCCCCTCGACTTGACCCGCCTGAGACGGTCCCCCCCCTTGTCGGTCCCTGGCCCCTTGCTGCAGCCGGGGATGGTGGTGAGAGGAAGACAGGCCCTTTGGGGGACCCCAGGCTCAGAGGGCCCTGGGCTGGGCTGGGGGATGCCGGGGGAGAGGGGTTCCTCTCTGCGTGAGGGCACAGCACGGCGCGGTGGGGTTCCAGTGCTCATGCCCTAGCCCCTGAGCTGGGCTTTCCTGCTTCGGGCTGAGTGGCACCCCTGTCCACGGCTTTGGGGGACAGCCGGCTGAGTTGGCAGGGCCCAGGACTGACACCACGAGCTCAGCCCAGCCCCGGGCCCTAGAGAGCCATGTCTGGAAGGCGAGGTGCAAAGCCCAGGCCCCCAGAAGTCCCCGCCTTGCAAAAACACATGCCCCACATTTTTTTTGCTTTTTGGGTCACACCGGCAATGCACAGGGGTTACTCCTGACTCTGCACTCAGGAGTTACTCCTAGCGGTGCTCAGGGGACCATATGGGATGCTGGGAATTGAATCTGGGTTGGCCGCGTGCAAGGCAAATGCCCTACCTGCTGTGCTATCTCTCCAGTCCCCACATGTGCCTTTGACAGGACCCATTGGGGGACGGGGGGCTCTGCTGTCAGCCAGGTCCTGGCCAGACCACCAGGGAGGGGGGCAGCGTCCTGGCCATACCCTATGGTGGCCGTGGCCCGGGGTCAGCTGCCAACCCTGCCCAGAAGGAGCAAGTGAGTGAGGAACCCCCTGAGTGCCCAGCGGGGGCGGGGACGGGAACCCAGGTGTACCCACAGCAAGTCTGAGTTCCTGCCTCACTCAGAACAGCTCAGGGTCCGGGAAAGCTCCCCTGGGGAGGGGCGCAGTGGTGGGCAGCCGGGCCCCGGGCACTCACCCCTTCCATGGGCGCGATGAGCAGGTCGTAGAGGGCACGCAGCGGAGGGCGCACGGCTGAACTCTGCCTCCGGGGCAGGGACGAGGCCCCGTCCTTGCTGGGGGACGCTGTGCTGCTCACCAAGCTCGTCATGCTCTGGCAGCTCCTGTTGGGGAAGGGGAAGACCCCCGGGGTGAGGGGGTGCAGGTGCGGGAAAGCCAGGGCTCAGGCACCCCTGCAGGCGCCCGCCACAGAGCAGCAAGCTGGGATGGGTGCTGCCTGGCACGCCAGGTGCGCCAGGGATGCCAACGCATGTCAGCGACATTCCAGGCCCATCCGCAGTGCCATCATGGGCAGGCGGACGTGGGGGCCATCGGGACGGGCAGCGGCTCACGGGCGGACGGGAGGACAGAAGGTCCGGCAAACGCATCTGCCCACCAGGGAGATAGGCAGTGGGTTCCCCCAACCTTCGCACAGCTCAGCCACCAGGGTCCTGGGTCTTCACGCCTGGCCTTGGGGGCTTTGCTCCGAGTCTAGTTTCCTGCCCTGAGCTTAATGAGTTGCTTTATTGGAGGTGGTGGGGAGGGTGGAGAGAGAGCACAGTGGGGAGGGCGTTTGCCTGGCACGCAGCTGACCTGGATTTGATCCCTGGCATCCCGTGTGGTTCCCCGAGCACCTCCAGGAGTGACTGCTGAGTGCAGAGCCAGGAGTAAGCCCTGAGCACTGCCAGGCAAAGCCCCCAGAGTCCCCGCCCCCTGCAGAAAATGAGTTTCCTCATCAAACGACCCCCAGGGCTTCCCACCGACCAAGGGGACAAGCCTTCCTGATGGATGCCTCCCGTCCCTGTGCCCCGCTGTGCCCTGCTGCATGCCTTGGTCCCTGGCGAGTGGCAGAGGGCCAGCAGGAAGGGTCCCTCACTCCCTAGTGGGGTGGCTCAACCCAGCCTCGGGACATCCTGCGAGGACCCCCCCCGCCGACTTGCCTCTTCACCTCGACTCCCACCCTGTGCAGAATGTGGAGGTTTCTGGGACACCCCCCACTCGCCCCAAGGCCTCAGCACCTACTGGATTCATGGCTACAGGCGGGGACTTGCCTGTTCCCTGGCCCGCTGGGTGCTGGGCACTGAGAGAAGTGGGGAGGAACGTGTTTCCAGATGTTCCCAGCAGAGTCTCCCTCTGCCTGCATTCCAGAGCCAGGCAGAGCCTGGAGCTAGGGGACCCCCTGCCTCCCACTGTGTCCCCTGCAGGAGGGGGTAGAGCAGAGGTCTCAGGCCCAAGGGCTGCTGGCTTGGAAGCCGAGGTGTTAGGAAAGAGTGGGCAGGCTGGGAGTCTTTCCTTGCTCATGGCCAGTGAAGTGCATTACCAGGGTGACACTCAGTCACTGCTTCCGCAGGGCAGCTTGAAGAGCTCTGAACTAGGAGCACTGGAATATGAGCACTGGGAAATGAGCATTGTGGGAGCACTGGATAATGAGCACCAGAGGCGCACTGGAGCACTGGAGGCGTGGCCTATGTGCTGTGTTCTCCTCTGAGGGGGCCTGGCCATCACTCGCCCCCTTGCCTCTGCTTTGGGTCCTCAAGGGGCCTGTGTCTGTGGAATCCAGCCACGCGGGGCTGGGGGCTGTGTCCCTTGACCATGTTGTGACCACAGGGCTGAAAGACAACGGTGTGGGGTTCCCCCACCCCAGTGCTCTGAACTCAGAAAGCTCTTCCCAGACAAAGAGGCCCTGACCCACCAGGGACCCCCCTCACATGACGAGGCTGGGCCAGGGTGGGGACACACCATGGGCCCCTGTTCATGCCACAGGGGCTCCTGGGACGTGTTGGCCTCCGTCTGCTCCCAGGGCAGGCAGGGGCTGTAAGAAGGAGGCTCTGTCAGTGGGCCGGGGGAGGGGGGCAGGCACCTGTGTCTGAGCCTGGGGACCCCAGAGTCCCCTATGTTTGCTGCCCTGCACCCTAGGGGGTCCCCTAGCCTCTATGCTCCCCCCCCCCCCAGTCTGGGCCTGGAGCAACGCCTCTTGCACACGGCCCTGGCCAGCCCACCCAGGCTGGTCACCCCTGGACTGACACGACAGCCTCCTGCAGTGGGCAAACAGGAAGCCGCTGAGAACAAGCCTCTGGCCTTTCTGTGGTGGCTCTGGGGGCCTGGGTGGTGTTGGGGTTCTAGCCAGGGTCCTGCGCACCCCCGGGTTAGAATCCCAGCACCACCACGAGGCAAATGCTCGACCACTGAGCCACCTCCCCGATGCCCACTGAACTGAACCTCCAAACCAGAGCCTCTCTGAAAGCAGAGCCCAACCCAGAAAATAATCAGCGGGTTCAAACAAAAACACAAACAAAATCCCAACTGGGAGACCCTCGATTGAGGTCCAAGGCAAGGGGCTGGAGGCTCTTCCTCCCCCAGGGGGAACGCGGCTGGGGCCCTGACCGCAGCCGCAGCAGGGGCAGCCCAGAAGGAAGCACCCCTTTTGTCCCCCCCAGCCTCCCCCCCCCCCCCCCCCCCCCCGCCATGGGCTTCCACGCCCACGGCGCCCCTCAGGGCCCAGAGGGAGACACAGCTGCTCCTTCCAGGGGTGGACCTGGGGCTTAGGGCAAAGATATACATCAGGGAGGCTGTTCGCTGGGCTCTTCGGGACACAGAGCAGCCCGGGACCCGGTCCTGGCCCTGCCCTCTGCCCTCGCCTCTGCACCCATCACTCTGCACCCATCAATGCAGCCCGTCCAGGGAGCCCCCCAGGGCCTCCAGCCTCCTTGCCCAGGAAGGCCCAGTGGCCAGCTGAGGACTGAGCACCGCAGTGCTGCGTCTGTCCAGCAGGTGGCGCTGGCTCGCTGTCCTTTGCCGGGCTTCGGGGCTGCAGTGGACGGAGGTGGTGGTTGGTGGGGGGAGGCGGAACGGGTTTCCCACACGCGCTGTATTGATCAGTTCATGCAACCGACGATGCTTATTGGTTCCCTTCTGCATGTAGGCTGTGAGGGTGAGCAAGGACAGAGACGGGATCCCGGCCAGGAGCTGGGTGGTCCGGGGCAGAGTGTGGGGGCTGGGAGTCAAAGCGGGAAGCAGCACTGACCAGACCGGGGGTGCCCCGAGTTGGGGGCCACTCCCCGCACAGTGAGTGGTGGTGGGGCGCCTCTGCTCTCTGGGTCTCAGACCGGGGCCCACCCCGGTCAGCGGCTCTGCCAGAGCTCCCTACGCCAGGGGCCTCTCTCTGCTGCACGCACCCCCAGGCCAGGCGGTGTGGCCGGAGCAGGGAGGCAGATGCTCCCTGACTGTGCTCCCTTGCAGGGACAGCCAAGCCAGGCCTGAGCACGCCCTGACCTCCCTCTGCAGGGCCTTCCCTGCAGGGTAGGGGGCATCTCCCCAGGACCCATCCTCTGGGGAGTCCTGGGCCCCCGTCCTCCTCACCCCAGGCCCTGGCCAACGTGCAGCCTGGTTCCTTCTGGATCCCGGACTCGGAAAGGCTTCAAGATGGGACCTCGCCTGGGGGTCGGGCTTGCGGGAAGCGTGAGTTGGGCAGCCCGGCATAGGCAGGCAGCCTCAGCTCAAGCAGGGAGACAGGGCTGCGCACGCACCATTTCTCCTCTGAAGGGAACCCCTCCCTCCTTTCCTCCCTTCCTCCCTCCTTCCCTTCTCCCTCCTTCCCTTCTCCCTCCCTCCCTCCCTCCCTCCCTTCCCCTGCCCCTGCCCAAGTGGCTGTTCAGGGTGAGCCTGCTGCAGGCATGGGAGCCCCAAGGCTGGGCAGCCCTCCCACTGTGCTATGGCTCCAGCCCCTCCCCTCATGGTTCTTAAGCATTAAATTAAAAAACAAAACAAAACACAGAGATACAGGAAGTAATACAGGAAGTGAGGCACTTGCCTCATGTGGATGACCTGGGTTTGAGTTCTAGCTCCACAGAGGGTCCCCTGAGCACAGGGCCAGGAGTAAGCCCCGAGCACAGAGCCGGGAGTGACCCCTGAGCACAGAGCCAGGAGTGAGCCCTGAGCACAGAGCTGGGAGTGACCCCCGAGCACAGAGCCAGGGTGAGCCCTGAGCACAGAGCAAGGAATCATCACTGAGCACTGCCAGGTGACTCCCCCCCCACTTCCTCTAAAAAAAAAAAGGAATATATGGGGACACTGGTGGAGGGAAGTTGACACTGGTGGTGGGATTATATGCCTCAAACTCAACCATGAATAACTTTGCAAATCATATAAAAAACTTAAGAGAAATAAGACTAAAGAAAGGGACATGACTTGGCGCAGTCTGCCCACACCGAGCGCCTGCAGCAGGATGGACCTCTGGGGCGTGCAAGCAATTGGGAGCAGCCGGCAAGTTCTTGTTCCTTCCACTCTAACAGGAGGGAAACCCAGAGGGGGGCCGTGAGCCCCCTTTCAGCAACGAGGAGACAGGCACCAGCACGTGTGGCCGGACCGGGCCCGGGACCCCAAGCTTTGCACAGCCTGGGGGGACCCCAGGGGAGACAGGCCTCATGGGGTGCCTGGGAGGGGGCGGGGCCAGACTTGGGGGGGACACGGGCTCACAGTTCTGGCTCCCACCAGGGCGGCTGCCTGCTCGGGGTCCCCCTGGGGACGTCCATCGGGTCAGCACCATAATGGCAGGAAGCGGGGCTGGTGCGGGCGCCCAGCACACAATGGCCGACAGAGGCACTGCCACGGGGGCACTGCCACCCCCACGGGGGCACTGCCACTTCCTCCGCCCGCTGGGCTGTCCTGGCTGTCCTCTGCGGGCTGACCGTGGCTGTGGCAAGGCCCGAGAGAACCTGGGAGATCTTTCTGCCATGGTCCCTGTGGCCAGAGGGGACGTGACTGCTACAACCCTACCTATTATTATTATTATTATTTTTGGTTTTTGTTTTGGGACCACAACCTGGTGATGCTTAGGAACTACTCCTGGCTCTGTGCTCAGGGATGACTCCTGGTGGTACCCAGGGGACCATAAAGGGTGCCAGGGATGGAACTCGGGTTGGCCACATGCAAGGCAAATACCTTCCCTGCTGCATGACTGCTCGGTCCCCAGCCTTGTTGTCTCTGAGCCTCAGAGTGCCCTGGGGGCCGGCCGGGCAGGGTGGCGCTGGAACAGAGCACGTCTGCATGTCCTCCCAGCCCGGTCATGCCAGCCCCCTGCTCAGGGGCTGGGCAGGCCTCGGCCCGCACACACGCACCTGTTGAAGAGGTTGTTGCGCCGGACCATGCGCAGGAAGCCGGTGGGGTCGGTGACCGAGTTCAGTCGTTCATTCATCTCTTCAAAGTGCCGCTCCATGATGTCCCCGGCCTCACTCTCCGTCTCGCTGCTGGCGCAGGCCCTGCAGGAGAGCCCAAGAGGCCAGTCAGAGGGCGCAGGTACTACGCTGGGGGTGGGGGTTCGCCGATGGGGCCTCCTCCCTCTGTGCGGCATGAAAGAGCAGCTGGTGGGGAGCTCCCTGCCCCTCAGCGAGCAGAACCTTTAGCGGGGGTGCTGCCTGCATGGGACTGTGCTCTCAGCAAACGCGTGCGCACACACACACACACACACACACACACACACGTGCAAACGCACCCACAGGTGTGCACACACGCATATACACGCACACACATGCACATACACACACATGCATACACATGCATGCGGAAACGCATACATACACACACATACGCACACACATTCACACATACACAGGCATACACACACGAGCACATGTGCACACATATATTCACTGCACACACACAAGCATGCGCACATATGCACACATGCATACACGTGCACGCAGACACATACGCATGTGCGCACATGCACACAGAGAAGCACACGCACACACGCGTGCACGCACAGACACACGTACCCACGTGCGTGCACACATGCACATGCACACATGCACACACACTCACGCACACATGCACACGCACGCACACATGCGTGCATACACACTGCACACAGGGTGCACCAGGAGCAGCAGTGTGAGTATGGTTTCTGAGTCATGCTCCCAGGTGGAGTCCATTCCACTGCAGACAGTGACTAGGACGCCCTGCTCCGGGCTAGGGGAGGGCGCGTCTATCCACTTCCGAACAGGCAGCCCATTTTCCAGGCGGGGAGACAGGCCGGCCCCCAGGTGATGGCGCTGCAACCGGGGAAGAACTCGGCCAGCCTAAGCCCATGTTTCCCGCTCGGGAGCGAGCTGACACGTTTCGAGTTAATCAAGTCATCCCCCCGTCTGACAGGCTGTAACAGAATGTCTTGCAGTGTAAAATAAGCAGCAACGCCCACGGGGGCTCTGAGTCGTCCGTCTGTGTGATCAAAATGACAAAAGGTCTGTCAAAGGCAGAGGCCACGTGCTGTGGCCCCCAGGACCACCGCAGACCTGGAGGCGCAGAGGCCGGGGCCTGTGGGAAGCCGGGCCTGTGGCAGCCTCCTGCTCAGTCCATGTCACAGGCTGCCCTGGAGGACCGTGCAGGAAAAGCAAGGAATGGGGGGAGATTCCTGTGGAATGGGGGTCCTGCCTGTCACCCAGAGGGTCCCAAGCATGGAGTTCCAGGTGGCAGGACCTGCGTCCCGGTGAGTCACAGGGCAGAGAAGCTGGAAATTGTGGAGCAAGGGGAACTGTGGGGTCAGAGTGAGTATTGGAGGAGCAGGCGCAGGCCCTTCTGACTGCCACGGGCCACGACGACACTGAGAACACCATCCGCCCGCCACACCACACCAGCAAACGAACAAACAAATAAGCAGATAAATCTAAGGGCCCCGTGGCTTCATACAGAAAGTCCTAACGTTCACGTCTTCAGAGGACAAGCACGAGATGAGAGTATAGAGCGGAACAGAAACTGAAGGAAGAGCAGATGAAAACGCCCCAAATTTATTGCCAGACACAGACCTATATATCATGAGGCAGAAACCACAAGCAGGATAACTGAAACCCAACAAAATCCACGACCAGACGTGTCTTATTCAAACTGCAGGAAACTAAAGACAAAGGTGGAAAAAAAAACATTGGAAGTAGTATAGCGGAACCTGGCAAGCTCCCCGTGGCGAATTTGATATGCCAAAAATAGTAACAATAACGGGCTCATTCCCCTGTCCCTGAAAGAGCCCCCCAGTATGCCATCGGGTTCCGCTAGCACATGACAGGGATGAATGGAGTTGTTGCTGGAGCCCACTCGAGCAAATCGATGATCAATGGGATGACAAGTGACAAGTGAGATATATATATATATATATATATATATATATATATATATATATGTTCCGACATCCATCGACGATCAAGAATCAGGGACGCTCTCTCATTTGCCAAGGTGTCAAAAATCAGATGGGCTGGTCACATAATGAGATTTAAAGATGACTGCTGGACTAGAGCTTTTACTGACTGGATTCCACGGGATGTCAAAAGACCGCATGGCCGCCCACCTACCAGATGGTCAGACTTCTTCGTCAAGATCATGAACGATTGGTTTGAGGCTCTTCATGTTCCCAGAGCGAACAGATGCCATTGGGCTACACTAGCACGCGACAGGGACAAATGGAGACGTTACTGGTGCCCGCTCAAGCAAATCGACGACTAACGGGAAGTTAAGTGATTAAGTGATATATATATATATATATACATATATGTGTATATACACATACATACAGAGAGAGCATATATATAAATCTTGAAAGCATATATATGTGTGTATATGTGATATTATACACACACACACACACACACATATATATTCAGCACTATCGGCCATATCCACATGGTAGCCAAGCTCACTGAGGTTTCTCGGGAGTTCAAGATGCCAATCTGTCTAACATTCATTGATTTAAAGAAGGCCTTTGATTCTGTTGAGACGGAAGCGGTCATTGAAGCCCTAGCCAAACAGGGCGTTCAAACTCAATACATCAGGATCCTCCATGAGCTGTATTATGGATTCACTACCAGGATCTCACCATTCTACAAGGAAGTGATCATCAACGTAAAGAGAGAGTTTCAACAGGGTGATACCATTTCACCGAAACTCTTCAGTGCCACCCTCGAGAACGTCATGCGACGACTGGAATGGGAAGGAATGGGAGTGAAGGTAGACGGTCGGGAACTACACCACCTCTGCTTCACTGATGACATCATTCTAATAACACGAAACATTGGCCAAGAAGCACAAATGCTGGCCGACTTTGACCATGAGTGCGGAAAAGTTGGACTGCAGCTGAATCTCACGAAGACAATGTTCATGAGAAACGGACTCATTCCTGACGTTCCATTCACTCTCAACGGAACAAACATCTCCGAATACAGCAGTTATGTGTACCTAGGTCGAGAATGCAACATGATGAACGACCTGGCACCTGAGTTGTGCAGGAGGAAGAGAGTGGCATGGAATGCCTCCAAGAGCGTCGAAGAAAATAGCTAAGAGGACAAAGAACCTCTGGCTCCAGGCACATCTCTTCAACTCCGCCATTCTTCCTGCATTAACATATACCTCAGAGACCTGGGCCCTAAGAGAACAGGATGAGAACACTGTTCGGGTCTTCCAAAGAGGAATCGAAAGAGCTATGCTTCAAGCATCACACTTCAATCAAGTGAGAGAAGGAATCCGGTGTTCCGACCTCTATCGACAATCGAGTATCAGGGACGCTGTCTCATTTGCCAAGGCGTCGAAAATCAGATGGGCTGGACATGTAATGAGATTTGGAGATGACCGCTGGACTTAGAGCTCTTACCAACTGGATTCTACAGGACATCAAAAGATTATGTGGCCGCCCACCTAAGATACTGACCAGACTTCTTTGTCAAGACCTGAAAGAACAGTGTGAGGCTCTTTGTGTTCCTGGAGTGAGCAGATGCCCCTGGGCTACACTAGCACTCGACAGGGATGAATGGAGACATTACTGCCGCCCGCTCAAGCAAATCGATGAGTAACGGGATGTCAAGTGATCAAGTGATAAAGTGATATATATGTATGCATATACACACACAAATAGAGAGAGAAGGTACATTATGTACATGGATAAACAATTCAAATGAATAAGGATTGCTCATTTCTCGTGAGGCCAGGAAGATAGTGCAGTGGATAGGGCACTTATACCACACACAGCTGACCTGGGTTCCATTCCTGCCACCACATGGGGTCCCCAGAGCACTGCCAGGAGTGATTCCTGAGCAGAACCAAGAGTAAATCCTGAGCACTGCTGGGTGTGGCCCTAAAACAAAAACAGAGCAACAAAGCACACAGAATAAAGTATTGTTGTTTTTAAGGAAGAAACCAGGAATATCAGAAGGAAACCAAAGCATTTTTTTTAGGTGTTGGAAGAAAAGAATGAGGGTCGAGGCTGTATCTTGGTGGTAGAACACTGGCCTTGCGCCTGGGAGGCCCAAGGTTTGATTCCCCACATCGGAAAAAGAAAGAAAAGGATAAAAATATTTCTCCAGAATTGCATACTCAGTGGAAATGTCCTTTAGAAATGATGGCGAAATGAAGACATTGTCAGGTGAAGGGAAACTGGCATAGAGAAACGAGCAGACAGACCCTCAACGGCTGCCGTTAGCCTGGCCTTCTGCTCAGGCCTTGGGCGATGGGCCCCTCCTGAGGGTGAGCAGGATGGTGGCTCGTCTCTGACAGAGTCTGGCAAAGGCAATGGCTGTTGCCTCTGAGATGAAGCCATACAGGACGGTGCCGGCTGGGTCACGGGAAGACACTCCATTGGCGTCACGGCTCGCGCCCCTTGGTGAAGCAAAGCAGTCGTGGGGAAGGCGTCCGCCTGGCAAGGCGTGCAGGGAGGCCTCGGCCAACAGGACGCAGAGACGGAAGTTCTCAGACCAATGTGGCGAAGAGAGAGAAATCTAAGAAACAAGTAGGAGGAGGATCCTTCTCCTGCTGAGTGTCCAGAGCGGACCTCAGCCGGGGCTGACACTCAGGATGTCTTTGGCAGAGGACTCGGCCAGTCTATGAACAGACTCCTGGCCCACAGACATCACAGTGTCAGAAACTGTGGTACTTCCAAGTCACTAAGCTGGTGGTCCAGTTATTCAGCAATAGGTGACTGATGTAAACACGTAGAGACTTCCATTAGAGAGTTTGATTTAGTCTCAGATAATTGCGAAAAGGAAGTGCATCAGACCAGGGAGATTATACCAGATGAAAACAGAAACATCAGAAAAATTATATATTATTCTAATAGTGGAGAGCAAACTCACAATGGAATTTACAAAAGAGTTCAAATGATAACATGGAAGACCCGAGTTTGATCCCTGGCACCCCAGACAACCCCTGCTAAGAGAAAAGAACTGCTAAGAGTGACCCCTGAGTACAGAGCTAGGAGTAAGCCCTGAGCACCACTGAGTGTTGCCCC